GTGTGTGTGTGTGTGTGTGTGTGTGTGTGTGTGTGTGTGTGTGTGTGTGTGTGTGTTTGTATTTTTATGTCTGCATGCTTGTTTGCGTCTGTGTGCGTGTGATTCATTTTCTTTGTGTTATGTGAAAAATTTGCAAATGTGCCTGTATGTTCATATGTTTGTCTGCTTGTTGATTGTTTACGGACTCCTTGGGAGTGTCCCTGGCAAGACAATGGGGCTGGAGAATCCTGGGAATCTGGTTTGATGTGCAGGTGATGAGTGGCAGCAAGAGACTCACATCATCAACCAAACAGATTCCTTTACAATGCCAGGATCTGGACACACCTCTTTATTTCTGTTTGCTGGGAACTTTTGACAGATTATTGCTGGGAACATGAGCATTATCACTTTGAATGTATTTCCTTTTCTTTAGACTTAGTCATCCTGAAGCCTGGGACACAGAAATATGACATCATGTGATGTTTTTGTATGTGCTTCTTAGTGTGTCGGTGCGATACTGATAAATTGTACATATGTCTCCGTGTTCCTGTAGGTGAGGTATGCCACAAGTCCTACACCCAGTTCTCAAACCTTTGCCGGCACAAACGCATGCATGCTGACTGCCGCACGCAGATCAAGTGCAAGGACTGTGGGCAAATGTTCAGCACCACCTCATCCCTCAACAAGCATCGGCGTTTCTGTGAAGGAAAAAATCATTTCACAGCAGGGGGACTGTTTGCCCAGGGTCTGCCACTCCCTGGCACCCCTGGCTTGGACAAATCAGCCCTGGCAATTGGTCACACCAGTGCTGGACTGGCTGATTACTTTGGGGCTAGCCGCCACCACACCGGGCTTACTTTCCCTGCAGCCCCAGCATTTCCTTTCAGCTTCCCAGGCTTGTTTCCTTCTGGACTCTATCACCGACCACCACTCATTCCTGCTACGACCTCTCCTGTCAGACAGCCGTCTCATGCACCTGTTGCAGGGCCTGGTTCAGAGCTGTGTAAAAGTCCCTTGCTTCCTTCAAGCCCTAGCGCGTTGGAGTCTCAAGAGCTGCTGAAAGCTCTCCGAAAAGACGGTGGTTCACCTGGAAACCAGATACCAGACTCAGAGCTCCATAATCAGGGTTCATCTTCAACCACAAAGCAGCGGAACAAGCAGAGTGACCAGTCTGAAAGCAGTGACCTGGATGATGTCAGCACGCCAAGTGGAAGTGATCTGGAGAGTACAACGGGCTCTGAGCTTGAAAGTGACCTGGACAGTGAAAGGGAAAGAGGAGCTGCTCGAGAAAAYGGCAAAGGTCCTAAGAGAAAGGGCCATGAAGGAGGCTCCCAGAGCCCCAGTTTCATAGGCAGCAGTGCTGCTAAAGACTTTCCAGGCCCTTCCCTTATACAGTCTTCACTAGACGAGCATACAGCTGTTACGGGGGCTGTGAATGACTCTATAAAGGCCATTGCCTCTATTGCTGAAAAATATTTTGGCTCAACTGGGCTAGCTAGCTTGCAAGACAAAAAGGTTGGGTCTCTGCCCTACCCCTCCATGTTCTCACTGCCTTTCTTCCCAGCTTTCTCTCCACCAGTTTACCCTTTCCCTGACAGGGACCTCAGACCAACAGRCCTGAAAGGTGAGCCACAATCACCAGGAGATGATGGCAAGAAGAGCCAAGGCAAGTCTTCATCTGAGTCACCATTTGACCTCACTACCAAAAGAAAGGCAGAAAAGTTAGTCCTTTTTGCCTCRTCTAAACCAGAGATCTCGCATCCCACTGGTGAAGATCAGCCACTCGATCTGAGCCTTGGGTCGAGGGGTCGAGGACGTTTTTCAAATCAGGAGGAGGCCAAAAAGAGCCCAGGCTATGAGGAGGAGAAAAGAGTTTTGGAGATTCCAAAAGCAGATTCCTCTTTACAGCATGCCAGGCCTACTCCTTTTTTTATGGACCCCATCTACAGGTACTGTTATTCCCAGTGTGACACTTACAAAAAATTACTAATCAAATTTTATATATGTGGAAACATTACAGGACAATTCAAATCAAGTTTAATCTGTGCTACTGTACATTCATTGAGAGCTAATAGAAATCTACTATTAGCAGGGTTGAGAAGAGGAGGATGAGCGATCCGTTTGAGACGCTGAAAGACAAATACATGAGGCCAGCTCCAGGTTTCCTGTTTCATCCACAGGTAGGTCCTGATAATGGTACTTTGTAGGAATCCAGACAGCTTAGAGAAGAATATTTTGTATAGCACACATGTTGTTAGATATCTTTATTACTCTAATTTATGGGAACATAAATTCAAGTAAATTGGATTTGATAATTTGAATATATGAAAACTAACCATTGCACCATCCCTGTAACAAGTTACCTGATAGGTTCCTAMAAATGTAGTCCATGACAACAGAATGGCACTGAACCAGTCAGTGAAATTTTACAATGGGTGTCCAATGATGGCCAAATTAGATTATTAAGAGTTTGTATGCAACTCGAGTTTTATACAAGCTACTGACCGTTAAGCCCATTCTTGGGTATCTAAAACAGATGTGGCAGAAAGCGAGGGCATATGGTGATATGTCTTTCTATATTCTGTCTTTCATTACAATATAAAAAATGATATGCTCCTAAAGCCTTTCTGCGCCTAAAGTTTTATGTAATTATTTACAGCGTAAAGTTCCATTGATTGCTTGTGTGTATATATCTGCACTCTACTCTGTGTGTGTGTGTGTGTGTGTGTGTGTGTGTGTGTGTG